CCCAGCTTCTCCATCTCCTGAAGCCCCAGCTCAGCCACTCCCCACTCCCCAGCTTCTCCATCTCCTGAAGCCCCAGCTCAGCCACTCCCCACTCCCCAGCTTCTCCAGTCTCCGGAAGCCCCAGCTCAGCCACTCCCCACTCCCCAGCTTCTCCATCTCCTGAAGCCCCAGCTCAGCCACTCCCCAGCTCCCCAGCTTCTCCAGTCTCCGGAAGTCCCTGCCTGCTTTCGTTTGCACTTGAGACCCTTCGAGACCCTCTGCCCAGAGGCTCAGGCCTGCATTCTTTTCTGCCTTTCACCTCCTCTCCCACAGAAAAAGCAGCTGTGCCTCCTCCCGTCCCACCATCCCTCTCTCCTTCCTTCCCCAGGGACTCGCAGCAGGAAGCAGCTGCCCTGTGGCCCGACATCCGCCAGCCCGGGGTGCTCCCCGGCTGCCTGTGGTCCAGCTTCTGCCCGTGTGCACGCGCTCTGGTCGTTGGTGACTTCCCTGTGCCAAACCAGGCGGCCTTCTCTGCCCTCCACCTGTGACTCTCCCGGCGTCTCACAGATGGCGTGATGCACGCCGACCCCGCACGGGCACCGCAGAGCCCACGGTACCGAGCCCTGGGACCAGGCACTGCTCTAAGCGCCAGCACGACCTCGGACGGCAGCCATGCTGTGATCACTCCTGCCTCACGGGCAGGGCAGAGGGGCCAGCGCCCTGCCAGGCTCCCAGAGCTCATGGGGGCAGAGCCAGCCCCAGGCAGGGTGGCCCACAGCGGCGGCTCCGACCTCTGCCCCTGGTCAGCTGTGGGCCCCTTGCTGTCCCCCTCCCACCCGCCCAGGGCCTGGCCCTGCCCCGTCTCTGCTGCCCTCCGTCTCCTGTTTCCCTGCTCTGTCCACACGTGGCTGGTCACTTTCTGGGGCCCAGGCTCTGACCGGAAACAGGCAGAAAGCTGAAGGATCGCCAGGAAGTGCCCGTGAGACAAGTGCTCACGCGTGACAGTCTTGGTGCACTCTGAGGCCGCTTGAGGAAGCCGGGGAGGTCACAGGTCCCTCCTGGCTGATGAGCCCGGCCCCAGCTCCCCGGGACCTGCCTGTGGTCTTCTGCCTCCACCCAGGACTGTGCCAAACCCCCCTTCTCTGGTTTGAAATTTCTGGAAGGCTGACACCCACTGGATGGTCAGCACAGCCCCCCGAAGACGAGGGCGAGGACTTGGTGGCTGGACGTGTGGTGGACAGGACCGCACCGTCCTGTGTTGTCACGGCGTGAACTGGAGGTGACAAGAAAGAGTCGTCCATGCAGGAGGTCAGTCCCTCGGCATGCAAGGGGCCTGGGGGGGCTCAGCCGAGGGAAGGCCTCAGGGGAGGCCGTGCTGGCCTGGCCCAGGCACCTCCGAGAAGGTGAGGGCGCCTGGGCACTGCCCGGCCGACTGGTAACCACGGGGGCAGGGGCGTGAGGTGCAGGAGAGGCCGTCTGGGGCCGGGCACCGCCTGGGCAGGAAGAGCCAGGAGGCTGGGCCCACCTCCCGCCAGCCACGGAGGCCACGGAGGCCCCTGACACGGGGGCGCCACTTACTTGCTCCTCCCTTGGGCCACCCACTCCTCGGCAAGCCGGCGGCGTTCAGCGATACTGAGGGACAGGCCTTCTCCGGTCGTGCCATTCACTGCGTCACACAGAGAGACGGTCGGGGGCGGCCACACCCGTGCACCTCCCACCCAGCCCGCCTGTCTGCTCTGGGCTCGGTGGCTCTGCCACCGTCCCTGGGGACAGCAGTGGGAACGCTGGTTACGACCCGAGGTGACAGGCCCGTCCTTGCTGTCAGGGACAGATGGCGGAGACTGGGGACAGAGGTGGCAGGTGACTGCCCCCATCACAGGCCAATCCCCAAACTCGCTCCTCAGTTCTACACCTGGGCCAGAAAGGCAGGAAGGCGGCACCAGCCAGGCTCCTGCCAAGTGCCTGTGCGCACCTGACACCGGGCTTGGAGAGGAAGCGCACGTAAGCACAGAGGGGCCCGTGTCCGCACGGCAGGCTCTCTGAGCTTATAAAGCAGGAATGCTGGCCGGCGCAGCGGCTCACTAGGCTAATCCTCCGCCTGCGGCGCCGGCACACCGGGTTTTAGTCCCGGTCGGGGCGCCGGATTCTGTCCCGGTTGCCCCTCTTCCAGGCCAGCTCTCTGCTGTGGCCAGGGAGTGCAGTGGAGGATGGCCCAGGTGCTTGGGCCCTGCACCCCATGGGAGACCAGGAGGAAGCACCTGGCTCCTGGCTTCAAATCAGCGCAGCGCCGGCCGTAGCGGCCATTTGGGGGGTGAACCAATGGAAGGAAGACCTTTCTCTCTGTCTCTCTCTCTCTCTCACTGTCTAACTCAGTCAAAAAACAAATAAATAAAGCAGCAATGATGCCCCTGGAGATGGCGGGGGCGTGAGACGCCCAGGGGGTCAGGCTGCTCTCCCCTCCGTGGGGCGCAGCACGTGCCAACAGCGGTGCTGGGAGCAGGCCGTCAGGGGGGTGAGGCCTCTTTCCTCCTCTGGTGTCTTGGGGGAGTGTCCCCCTGTCGTGGGGTTGCACCTACTTCTGCCTCGGGCCCTGGAGAGACCACTGGTCTGTGGAGTAGGAGTCTGACAACCCCGCCCCAGTTCGGAGCCGAGGGACAGTGGGCAGTGCTGTAGTCAGGTCTCGGGTTATGGCCTGTGTCTGAGGGACAGCTCTGCACACCGGCTCTAACCGGCTGACTGTGACAGCTGAGGGACAGCTCTGCACACCGGCTCTAACCGGCTGACTGTGACAGCTGAGGGACAGCTCTGCACACCGGCTGTAACCAGTTCTCATTGTGACAGCTGAGGGACAGCTCTGCACACCGGCTCTAACCGGCTCTGACTGTGACAGCTGAGGGACAGCTCTCCACACCGGCTCTAACCGGCTCTGACTGTGACAGCTGAGGGACAGCGCTCCACACCGGCTCTAACCGGCCGACTGTGACAGCTGAGGGACAGTGCTCCACACCGGCTCTAACCGGCCGACTGTGACAGCTGAGGGACAGCTCTCCACACCGGCTGTAACCGGCTGACTGTGACCACAGCACCTCCAGGGAAAAGGAGCAGTGGCCTTGGATGGAGGCCAAAAGCCCAGGGCTGCCCACAAGTGGCAGCTCCGTCAGGGACCGTGTTCTGGGCGCAAGGTTTGGGTCTGACGTTGTGGGTGCTCACTGTGGCTGACACACGCGGGGTCACCCGCGCCCTGCGGCTCCTCTGTGCTGAAGGTCGTTTTCCCCCGACTCAGTTTGCAAGGCCAGGGGACGGCAGTGGACGGCTCCATGGCGGGGGTGCCCTCCCGGCTGGCTGCAGAGCGGCCCAGCCCCAGGAGCTGCAGATTGCCACCGGCCTCGGGGGAGACGGAGCACAGCCGACGTGCGTGGGCGGCCGCGGCGTCCAGCCCTGAGGGAGCTTCGCCGGGCCCTGGGCTGGCCGCCGGGGAGATGGACACTGCAGGACTGAGCTAGAGGCCGAGACACCCCGAGGGCACTCACCGAACACGCGCTTGACGCCCTGCTCCTTCACGAGATAGTCCACGTAGCGGCCAATCACGGACACGTTGACTTCCCTGAAAGACACGGGAGACGGGAAGCGCGCACGCGCATTCTGCGCCGTGTCCCCCGCCGGAAGCCGCCCCAGGAGTCCAGGCTGTGAAGTTCCCAGCCTGGGCCCCAGGACAGCGCGGCTGCTTTCCTGGGTGCGGCGGTTCCTGTGCACATCTGCCCCACTTACGCTCGCCACACACAGGCTTGGCGGAAACCACACCCGAGAGCAGTTCCCTAATCCCCGCCCGTCCTTGTGCGGAAGAAAGGTTGGGGGTGTTGGGAAGAACAAACATTTCTTCCTTCCTCTCTAAGACTTATTTGAAAGGCAGAGTTACAGAGGGAGGAGAGACAGAGAGATCTTCTGTCTGCTGTTCACTCCCCAAATGGCCAGGAGCTTCTTCCAGGTCTCCCGCGTGGGGGCAGGGACCCTCGTGTGTGGGCCATCTGCTGCTTTCCCAGGCGCATTAGCAGGGAGCTGGATCGGAAGTGCAGCAGCCGTGCCTCGAACCGGTGCCCATATGAGCCGGCATCACAGGTGGCGGCTTCACCCGCGAGGCCTCCGTGCTGGCTGCATAACAAGCAGTAGGCTCACGGGAGAGCCGGGTCCCGTCACTCAGGAGTTTCAGCACTCAATGTCTGCGATGGCGACCAAAGGCTCAGGACCGCTGCCGGCCGGGCCGTTGTGGGTCGGAGAGGAGGGAGCTGGCAGGGACTCTGCTGACACTTCGCTCTCAGAACAAGGTGGGGAGCAGCAGCCTTGGCACCTGGGGGGGGGTCGCCAGAAATGCAGACCCCTGGCCCCGCGAGTGAGACTCTGGGCTCCCACGGGGCCCCGTGGGGTCTGCAGACCCCTGGCCCCATGCTGCCCCACCAGTGAGACTCTGTAGGGGCCCCGTGGGGTCTGCACACCCTTAGCTCTTCGCAGTCTGAGCCCCGTGGCCTGAAAGGATCCATGCTTAAGGCAATCAGTACTTTTTCCTGTTGATTTTAACTTCCTGAAATGTGTGCCCAGCACCTTGGGTGAAGCAACCCAGCCTCAATCAAAACACAGGTGGGGAGCGTGGGCAACAGGGTGGGGGCCGAGGGCTGCAGAGCCCTGGCCACGGGGCGAGTGCACCCAGCAGCGGTCGCAGAACCCTGGGGAGCTCAGCCTCAGTGACTGCTCTCCAGAGGCAACAGGCGTGAAAGGAGGCCAGCCGGGGTCAGCTGAGGCTGGGCCCACTCGGGGGGGCTGGGCGGCACAGAGCCCACGCCCCTGTCCCCAGGACTCCCCGCCCAGAGGGGAGCAGCCTCTAAGGGGCCGACTCTCGCCACCATCAGCATTTTCTTCATGTACAAAGCGAACCAGGCTGTGCGGTGACCCCAGGGCTACACTTCCACCAGGCCGGACACGGGGGCGGCACTGGGTGGGCCAGGTGCCAGCCTGCAGCCCTCAGCAGAAACGCCCAGAGCTCCATCGCAGGTGGACCCAGGGAACCCGGCCAGGGCTGTGCCACCGTGGTCACCGAGGCCGCCAGCGGCAGGTCAGGCTGCAGCGTGGCCTCCCCATGGCTCCCCGCCCGCCATGGTGCCCGGGTCCCTTCTGCTGCAGGCGAGACCCTGGCCCTGCAGGGTTTCCTCACCTGGGGGCTGGGGGCTGCGCGCGGCGGGGACATGTCAGGTCCCCTGAAGCGGGCTCTCCCGGGGGAGGGTTCCCTCACACTCTGACATCTTCCCACTTACAAATCCACAGGGTTCTACACCCAGCTGTGTAAGTTTTCCACTTTGCATTCTGAATTGCACATTTCCGTACATTTGTGGGTATTCTGTTACTACGCCGGCTACAGCACTCCGTTTTTATGCATTAACATAATCGAATTGCAACTCCCTGTTCCTAGACATTTGGTCCGCCCCCCTACCTGGAGGAGGGAACGCACAACAAATTATTTTTTGCCGCACATTGGGGCGCAGAGTGGGTGTGCTATGAAACTGCCCAGCCTTGTCTCGGCTGCAGCCAGGGCCCGCACGGGGAGGTGCGACCCGCACAGCTCTCCTCTCACAGTGCAAAGCACACGGTTTTTCTGAATCAGCTTGGCAGAGGGAGACTCCACAGGCCCTGTGCTCCGTCTGCTGCGCAGGACGCGCCCCGAGAGGCCCGGCCTCGGCCAAGGGAGCCGCCACACGCCTGGCCCCATGAGGCAGGCTCCACACACCTGGCCCCACGAGGCAGGCTCCACACGCCTGGCCCCTCGAGGCAGGCTCCACACGCCTGGCCCCACGAGGCAGATGCCACACGCCTGGCCCCACGAGGCAGACGCCACACGCCTGGCCCCACGAGGGAGACTCCACACGCCTGGCCCCACGAGGGAGACTCCACACGCCTGGCCCCACGAGGGAGACTCCACACGCCTGGCCCCACGAGGCAGGCTCCACACGCCTGGCCCCACGAGGGAGACTCCACACGCCTGGCCCCACGAGGGAGCTGCCACACGCCTGGCCCCACGAGGGAGACTCCACACGCCTGGCCCCACGAGGCAGGCTCCACACGCCTGGCCCCACGAGGCAGACGCCACACGCCTGGCCCCACAAGGCAGACGCCACACGCCTGGCCCCACGAGGCAGGCTCCACACACCTGGCCCCACGAGGCAGACGCCACACGCCTGGCCCCACGAGGCAGGCTCCACACGCCTGGCCCCACGAGGGAGACTCCACACGCCTGGCCCCACGAGGCAGGCTCCACACGCCTGGCCCCACAAGGCAGACGCCACACGCCTGGCCCCACGAGGCAGCACAGCAGCGCCGTGACCTCCCATGACCCTTGGCCCTTGCGTGGCTCTGGGATTCCACATCAGGTGGAAGCACGCGTGCTCCTAGTGAAACAGCTGCTCAGCTCCGGCCAGACCCAGGCGTAGGCACGCGTGTGCGTGTGTGCGTGTGTGTGCGTGTGCGTGTGGCCGCTCGGTCTCCCAGCCGCTGTCAAAGGGCCCCGAACCCATGCGACTCCCACTCCTGCAGGCCGGGCCCCCTCTGGCTGGGCCACGGGTTTCTTTCCATGGAAGGCCCGGTAAGGACTCCCACGTGACGCCTGGGAATGTGAGGGAAAAAGAGCTTCTCCCGGCGTCTTCCCAGTCCCAGTGGACTTTGTGTCCTGGTGGCCGCTCTCGTCTAAGGACGAGAAGACTTCTTGCCCGAGTCAGGGATGCAGGCTTTGACGCCAGGGCAGGAGGAGGAGAGCGTGGGTGGGTGGAGAAAGACTTCCCTCTGCAGCCGCGGGGCTCGGGGCAGGTGTGCGGGCTGTGGCGGAGGCCCAAGTGAGCCCCAGGACACGCAGGGCTGCCCCCCGTGGCCCTGGCACCCTCCTCCTTCCTGTCAGCGCCTGTCTTCTCCATGGACAAACGGTCAGGAAGTGACAGAGCTCACCACAGCTTGCACCAGCCGCTGCAGACGCGAGGGCGGTGGATGAGGCCCGCGCCTGTCCCCGGGAGCTGCCCGGCTCCGGCAGTGCCGCGGCAGAGGCGGAGCAGACCAGAGGCGGGCACGCAGCAGACCGGCCTGGCGATGGCTGCTAGGAACACTCGCGGACAAGCGTGCCAGGCTACGCGGGTCACGGGGAAGGACTGGGCTCCGCTGGGGCGAGCTGGGCGCCTGGAACCAAAGGAGCCGCTTCCCTGGCTGCCCTCCTGCCTCTCGCCGTGCAGGGGGAGCCCCCCGAGGGAACAGCGCCGCCCGTCGCCCCCTGAAATCTTATTAGCCAGCAAACTTATCTCCGGAAGGCAGGCGGAGGAACGTCACAGGGCCTCTGTCCCGAGCTGGCCTGTTCTCCAGTCCCGTCCAGTTTCCAGAGAAAACCATAAGCTATTATCAGCCCCACGTCCACGTCCGCGCCTCCCCGGGAAGGGGCATTTAGGCCCCGCCCTCTGTTCCTTGCTTGGTCTCCGGGGTACACAGGCACGTGTGCCTCTCCTGTGACCCCACTGCCGCTCATTCTGCACACATAACCCCGGGAACCCTCCCATGCAGGGGCCACGTTCCCTGCCAGCTCCTCCAGGCAGGCCGTCACTTGCACCTGGCTGAACTGCTAGTCACCAGGACCCAGGAGAAGACACTGCCCAGGGAAGAGCCCCGGCTCAGCCACCAGAATTACAGGGTGGGGGGTGGGGAGCTCCAGGCAGCCAGGATAGGAGCGCCCTTCCCCCCTCGCCCGCTCCGTGGCGCTGGCACCCCACAGGGCGCCTTGGTGTCTGCTCTGTCAGAGCGCAGGTTCCTGTGTGGGCGGGACGTTAACGGCCACGTGGACCCACAGGCACCAGGCGTGGAGCACGTGGTGGCAGGACGGCTGGAACGCCCACTGCCCCACACACAGCAGGCGTCTAATAAACGCTGACAAGGCCCCTGCACAAAGCCCATCTGCGTTTTGAATTCGTGACTCAGGGACGTGTGGTTTCTAGAAGAGACAGGAGGAAGGGGAAACGGGCAGCCAGACTGGGGGTCTGGGAGGCGGACAGAGCCCTGTAGCGACCCTCGGGGCCTGGCCTGCCGGCAAACAGCGGCACGTGCTGACACGGCAAACAGACGGGACCGCGTGAAGCCGCCGCTTCCAGGCCGAGAGAGGCCTTAGAAGGTCAGGGAGCCCCCGCGACGGGAAGTGAGGCCGCCTGCCCTGCAGCCACGTGGCTTCTGCTGCCCCGGCCCAGGAACAGCTGACCACAGTCTTCCAGGCTCAGGAAGGGAGGAGGAGCAGCCACTCATCAGCGCCTCTGACGCCAGCTCAGCAAGTTAGCAGTGCTCACGTGGCCGTCACGACACGGCTCGGGCAATGATCACCCAACAGGCACCGGCCGTGCCGGCCGCAAGCTGTGACTGCGCCACGGGGTCCCTCGTCTGCTCTCCCAGGGCAGGACTCGGCCACCGCCTGAGAGCCCTCACTGGGGAGTCCACAGGACCCCTTCCCTCCCACCTCACCGCCCTCCTGCCGGCGCCCACAGAGCACCTGCTGTGCGGCTGCAGAGCTGGGCAGAGGTGAGAGCCGCTTCTTACCCGGGGTCGCCCACCCCCACCCCGCAAAGCTGCCTCCAGCACTGGGGGACGGAGCTGGGCAGAGTCTGGGACACGCAGGTCGGATCCTTCTGGGACCCAAACAATAGTTACCCATTCTCGGTCATCGGTGTGATGGTCGCAGCCACGAGACCCTGGAGCTGCTTCTTTGGGGAGGCCATCGAGCTGCTGGAAGGATCTGGAACACATGCGTGAGACAGCTGTTTCCTTGGGGAAGGCCAGGTAACGATGGGGTCACAGACACCCGGGAAGGTCAGGTAAGGACAGAGGTCACAGACACCCGGGGAAGGTCAGGTAAGGACAGAGGTCACAGACACCCGGGGAAGGTCAGGTAAGGACAGAGGTCACAGACACCCGGGGAAGGTCAGGTAAGGACAGAGGTCACAGACACCTGGGGAAGGTCAGGTAAGGACAGAGGTCACAGACACCTGGGGAAGGTCAGGTAAGGACAGAGGTCACAGACACCCGGGGAAGGTCAGGTAAGGACAGAGGTCACAGACACCCGGGAAGGCCTGGTAACGATGGGGTCACAGACACCCGGGGAAGGCCAGGTAATGATGGGGTCACAGACACCCGGGGAAGGTCAGGTAACGATGGGGTCACAGACACCCGGGGAAGGCCAGGTAAGGACAGAGGTCACAGACACCCGGGGAAGGTCAGGTAAGGACAGAGGTCACAGACACCCGGGGAAGGTCAGGTAAGGACAGAGGTCACAGACACCCGGGGAAGGTCAGGTAAGGACAGAGGTCACAGACACCCGGGGAAGGTCAGGTAAGGACAGAGGTCACAGACACCCGGGGAAGGTCAGGTAAGGACAGAGGTCACAGACACCCGGGGAAGGTCAGGTAAGGACAGAGGTCACAGACACCCGGGGAAGGTCAGGTAATGATGGGGTCACAGACACCCGGGGAAGGTCAGGTAAGGACAGAGGTCACAGACACCCGGGGAAGGTCAGGTAAGGACAGAGGTCACAGACACCTGGGGAAGGTCAGGTAAGGACAGAGGTCACAGACACCTGGGGAAGGTCAGGTAAGGACAGAGGTCACAGACACCCGGGGAAGGTCAGGTAAGGACAGAGGTCACAGACACCCGGGAAGGCCTGGTAACGATGGGGTCACAGACACCCGGGGAAGGCCAGGTAATGATGGGGTCACAGACACCCGGGGAAGGCCAGGTAATGATGGGGTCACAGACACCCGGGGAAGGCCAGGTAAGGACAGAGGTCACAGACACCCGGGAAGGTCAGGTAAGGACAGAGGTCACAGACACCCGGGGAAGGCCAGGTAATGATGGGGTCACAGACACCCGGGGAAGGTCAGGTAACGATGGGGTCACAGACACCCGGGGAAGGTCAGGTAAGGACAGAGGTCACAGACACCCGGGGAAGGTCAGGTAACGATGGGGTCACAGACACCCGGGGAAGGCCAGGTAATGATGGGGTCACAGACACCCGGGGAAGGCCAGGTAAGGACAGAGGTCACAGACACCCGGGAAGGTCAGGTAAGGACAGAGGTCACAGACACCCGGGGAAGGCCAGGTAATGATGGGGTCACAGACACCCGGGGAAGGTCAGGTAACGATGGGGTCACAGACACCCGGGGAAGGCCAGGTAAGGACAGAGGTCACAGACACCTGGGGAAGGTCAGGTAAGGACAGAGGTCACAGACACCCGGGGAAGGTCAGGTAAGGACAGAGGTCACAGACACCCGGGGAAGGTCAGGTAAGGACAGAGGTCACAGACACCCGGGGAAGGTCAGGTAAGGACAGAGGTCACAGACACCCGGGGAAGGTCAGGTAAGGACAGAGGTCACAGACACCTGGGGAAGGTCAGGTAAGGACAGAGGTCACAGACACCCGGGGAAGGTCAGGTAATGATGAGGTCACAGACACCCGGGGAAGGTCAGGTAAGGACAGAGGTCACAGACACCTGGGGAAGGTCAGGTAAGGACAGAGGTCACAGACACTCGGGGAAGGCCAGGTAATGATGGGGTCACAGACACCCGGGGAAGGCTGGGTAAGGACAGAGGTCACAGATACCCCGGTACCCGGCAGTGAAAGATTGCACAATATTGAAATATGCATTTTCAGTTAGTGATTTAGGAGGCAGACACACACACACACACACACACACACACAGATCCTCCATCCAGTAATCCACTCCCAAAATGCCTGCTGGGAACCCAATCCAGGTCTCCCACATGGGTGGCAAGGACCCAACCGCCTTGGCTGTCACCTCTCCCCCAGGCTGGCGTGCCCAGGAACCTGTGTCGGCTGCTGGGGCCCAGGCACTCCGGTTTGGAACGAGCGTCCTAACTGTAGGCCAAGCACGTGCCCTGAGTCAGAGTTCGGAGTTCAGTTCAGTGGGGGGGCCTTGAGACAGGGGAGGTGGCCTGGACACACTCCCTCCAGAAGGCCTCCTGCCGCCGCTGCCGCCCTGTCGGGGGTGGAGAAACCAGAGCCCTCAGACAGGCAGCAGCCGACCCCCGGAGCAGGCACTGGGCCCAGGCGGGCAGACAAGAGTCTGTGAAACCCAAGGGCAGCATGAGAGGGCACAGCCGGGAGGGGGCACAGCAGGACAGGGCACAGCCGGGAGGGGGCACAGCTGGGAGGGGGCACAGCCAGGACAGGGCACAGCTGTGAGCGGGCACATCTGTGAGGGGGCACAGCCAGGACAGGGCAAGCTGTGAGCGGGCACAGAATGACAGACGTAGCTGTGACAGGTGCAGCCGTGAGAGGGCACAGCCGTGAGGGGGCACAGCCGGGGGGGGCGCAGCAGGACAGGGCACAGCCGGGAGGGGGCACAGCTGTGAGCGGGCACATCTGTGAGGGGGCACAGCCGGGAGGGGGCACAGTTGTGAGCAGGCACAGCCGTGACAGATGTAGCTGTGACAGGTGCAGCCGTGAGAGGGCACAGCCGGGAGGGGGCCGCCCCTTCCTCCTTCCACAGCCCCATCCTTTCAGCTGGAATCTCACCCAAAGCCAGCAGGTGACCCGCAGAGCCTCCTGGTTCCCCCACCCTCTCACTACCTTGCTGTTTTGCCCGGGTTTGCCTGGTTTCCCTGGCTTGGCGAGCGCGCCACCTGCACACTCACGGCTGTCTTCCTGGCTAGCGTAGGCTCCCAACCATGGGGACTGCGCCCCTGGCTTCGCTGTCATCTCCTGACATCAGGTACTCAGAAGCGAGGAGTAAGGGGGTGACGCACAGGTGTCCAGACCGCAGGGGAGAGCCACCTCCCCGGACAGGGGCCGCTGCTGGGGTCAGCCCCAGCCCAGGCGTGCAGGCCCACATCTGTGAAGACAGGCAGCGAGGGGCAGCCGGGCCGCTGGGGACCGCCTGGCTCGGCTCCCACCGCGGCCGCTGCTGCTTGCCGACACGTTCTGAGCCGCAAGACTTAAGCAGCCACAACGCAGCCTCTAACAAGTGAAGAGAATACAACCATCAGGTGGGGCTCGGTGTCAGTTGTACGAACCACAGGGCGCTCGGAGCCGACACGGAGCCGACACGGTGTCTGCAGCTGTCGGCAGCAGGGAAGCGGCCACGTGTGGCTTCCGACCCAGCTCCCTGCCGCTGCTCCTGTGAGAGCTACGTGGGCCCCTGCAGCCACGTGGGAGACCGGCATGGAGCTCCAGCTCCTGGCTTGGGCTTGGCCCGGCCCCAGCCGCTGTGGCCATCTGAGGATGAACCAGCAGATGGAAGAGGACGCAATTCTGACCCCTCTGGCGCGTTAGAAACCCCAGTGCCCACGTGGCTAACGCTGGACCCCGAGAGGCAGCACTCGATAAGCAGCCGTCCCGTTCTGCTCTCTGTTGACTCGCAGCTGGTAAGTCTGTCACCCCAGCACGTTCAACTCGGGTGCACAGCCAGCTGTACCCAACAGCCCCGGCTCGGCTGGGCCCATGAGAAGCCCAGATGTTGTGGGAAAGCACCGGACACATCCCCTTGTAAACAGACACAGCTCAAGCAGACAGAGCTGGCCCTGCAGACCCGTGATCTGTGTGGGGAGGGGGCGGCTCTGTGCTGGGGGCAGCTCTGTAGGGGCAGCGCAGACCCTCCCTGTGCTGTGTGGGGGCAGTGCAGACCCTCCCCGTGCTGTGCTGTGTGGGGGCAGTGCAGACCCTCCCTGTGCTGTGTGGGGGCAGTGCACACCCTCCCCTGTGCTGTGCTGTGTGGGGGCAGTGCAGACCCTCCCTGTGCTATGTGGGGGCAGTGCAGACCCTCCCTGTGCTGTGTGGGGGCAGTGCAGACCCTCCCTGTGCTGTGTGGGGGCAGTGCAGACCCTCCCTGTGCTGTGTGGGGGCAGTGCAGACCCTCCCTGGGCTGTGCGGGGGGGGGGGCAGTGCAGACCCTCCCTGTGCTGTGTGGGGGCAGTGCAGACCCTCCCTGTGCTGTGTGGGGGCAGTGCAGACCCTCCCTGTGCTGTGCTGTGTGGGGGCAGTGCAGACCCTCCCTGTGCTATGTGGGGGCAGTGCAGACCCTCCCTGGGCTGTGCTGGGGGCAGCTCTGTGCGGGCAGTGCAGGGCTGGGCAGTGTGGGCAGGGCAGGGCTGGGCAGGCAGGGCAGCCTCAGCAGATCTTGAGGCCGTGAGGATTCCTGGCTTGGAGGAGCCGAAGCTGTGCAGCAAGTCAGGAAGCAGCCGTGGTCACCCGGCCATGAGCTAACACAGATAAGAAGCTGCAGACTTGGCCCTAATCCTCAGTGTCACGCGGCCAGCAGGTGACATGGATGCTGAGCCTCTGGCCTCTTCTCTGCTGCAGGGCAGCTCTGTGCCCAGACCCCCAGGGACCCTGCTCCCCACAGGGCAGCTCTGTGCCCAGACCCCCAGGGACCTGCTGTCCTGCAGGGCAGCTCTGTGCCCAGACCCCCAGGGACCTGCTGTCCCGCAGGGCAGCTCTGTGCCCAGACCCCCAGGGACCTGCTGTCCTGCAGGGCAGCTCTGTGCCCAGACCCCCAGGGACCTGCTCCCCATAGGGCAGCTCTGTGCCCAGACCCCCAGGGACCTGCTGTCCACTGTCCTACAAGGCAGCTCTGTGCCCAGACCCCCAGGGACCTGCTCCCCCACAGGGCAGCTCTGTGCCCAGACCCCCAGGGACCTGCTCCCCCACAGGGCAGCTCTGTGCCCAGACCCCCAGGGACCTGCTCCCCGCAGGGCAGCTCTGTGCCCAGACCCCCAGGGACCTGCTCCCCGCAGGGCAGCTCTGTGCCCAGACCCCCAGGGACCTGCTCCCCCGCAGGGCAGCTCTGTGCCCAGACCCCCAGGGACCTGTTCCTCTGCAGGGCAGCTCTGTGCCCACCCCAGGGACCCTGCAGTGGGTCCTCCTGGTGATGTGTCCTGGTCCCTTATGGCAGAGGCTGTGGTGTGTATGGCACAGGGCCGCAGTGGGGCAGAGGTTGGTCTGCCTCCGGGCACCATCACTTCCCCGTGGGCTGACTGTGGGCCCAGCACCCGGGCGCCGTCTCCCGGGCACTGAGCCACGGCACGGCCGCTGTCCTCCTCCCTCTCCCCCTCTCACTCTTGGGGGCAAAGGACGCAAGCCCAGGCCCAGCACTGGCTAGCAGTTTGTGGGACTCATCTCAGGGGCCGGACCTGAGGACCCACCTCCAGCCATGCAGCCTCTGCCCGGGGCCCCTGCCTGTGGCAGGTGGCCAGCAAGCTGGGTCACTGCCCAAATTCTCATCCCCCACTTCAGGGCACAGAGGCTACAGGGCTCTGGGCTGCGGGCTCTGCCCTGTGTCCCATCCCGCCCTGGCCGACGTCTGTCACTCACAAGAAAGCGGGGAGCCCTGACCCCAAGGTGGGAGGTCGGAGGAGCTGGGTAGAAAGGCTGCGCCTTCAACAGAGGCCGAGCAGCGTCTAAAAAAATCTGAGTTTCAAATGAACTCAGGACTGTGACCACTTAGTGGTCACTCCGTCCCCTGGGACAGCCAGCTGCCCATTCTCAAAGTGGCAAGGTTTCACAAAATTCAACATCACGGGACCGCAGCTGGGGCGAGGAGCACGAGGAACAGTGAGAGGACGCAGAAGTGCACAGGAAACTCAGACCGGCCGCTGGGCCCACGGCGTCCCCGGCCGGCCTCCCCCGCGGCTCAGACCCCTCCAGACCCCGGTCCCCGGTCCCGGCGGGGCGGCCGCGGCCGCAGACACCCGGGAGCGGCCCTCGCCCCGCGGGTGCTGCCCCCCGCCCGCTGCAGCGCACTTGCCAATCCTCCGTCCCGCGTCCCGCTCGCTCTGTCCCCCGCTCCCCGGTTTCCGCGCCGCCCCGGGACCGCGTCCCCTGCCTCGGAACAGCCCCGCGTCCCCGACCCACGTCCCCGGCCCGGGCCCGGCACTTACCCAGGCCGCCGCCGGTCAGCTGCCTAACCGAAGCCCGGGACACTCGCGGCCGGGGCGGGGTTGGGGCGAGGGGGCGGTCCGGTGTCATGCCCCTCCCGCGGGCGCGCCCCGGGCAGGCTGGAGCCCGGGGCCGCCTCCCTGCGCGCTCCTGCCGCGCGCTCCTGCCGGGTGCTGGGCGCCAGCCTGGTTTGGAAGTTCGGGGAGGAGGAGGTTTGCTCTGGCCCGAAACTCCGGGCGGCATGGACGCCCTCAAGGCCCTTCGTTGGGGACAAGCGGCGTCCGGCACAGGCCTTCCCGGCTGGTCCAGCGCTTCCCCACGAGCTGAGCTGGAAGGCATTGGCCCTGCGGCTTCCCCCGCGGAGGGGCGTCGGTGTGGTGCACGGAGGCCGCGGGCCGCGGGGGGGGGGGGGGGCAGGGGGGGTGGAGCTGTGCTGGAGCCCCTCCGCGTTCCCCTGGGCAGGTGGAAGGGGCGGGGGGGGGGGGGGCGGGGAGGGCCCTGGGCGCGCCAGGGGCGTGTTTGTAACCTTAACAGGGCTTCGAAATCGCAAGTAACTTTTTTCCAAGTTACTCTGTAATCCACGCAGAATCAGGTGGCCAACAGGTTTCAGTGGCACTGTCAGCCAATAGACCAAGAATCCAAACACAGAAGCAAACCGCAGGCGCCTGGACTGGGGGCGAGCGGGTGCTGGGTGTGGGGACTGGAGCCCCCTCTTGGTACCCTGAATAAGCAGCTGTCCTGCCTGGGGGTTTCTAGAAAGGATTTACATACTTGTTTTTGTTTGCTTGTTTGTTTTGTTGTTGGTTTTTTTTTTTTTTTTTGGACAGGCAGAGTGGACAGTGAGAGAGAGACAGAGAGAAAGGTCTTCCTTTTGCTGTTGGCTCACCCTCCAATGGCTGCCACGGCTGGCGCGCTGCGGTGCTGATCTGAAGCCAGGAGCCAGGTGCTTCTCCTGGTCTCCCATGGGGTGCAGGGCCCAAGGACTTGGGCCATCCTCCACTGCCTTCCCGGGCCACAGCAGAGAGTTGGCCTGGAAGAGGGGCAACCGGGACAGAATCCGGTGCCCCGATCGGGACTAGAACTCAGTGTGCCGGCGCTGCAAGGCGGAGGATTAGCCTAGTGAGCCGCGGCGCGGGCCTACATACTTGTTTGAAAGGCAGACTTAGAGGGAGAGAGGAAGAGGGAGAGAGGTCTTCCATCCGCTGGTTCACTCCCCAAATGGCTGCAATGGCCAGGGTTGGGCCAGGCCCAGGCCAGGAGCCAGGGGCTTCTTCCTGGTCTCCCACATGGGTGCAGGGGCCCAAGGACTTGGGCCGTCTTCTGCTGCTTTCCCAGGCCACAGCAGGGAGCTGGGTCAGAAGTGGGGCAGCCGGGACGTGAACAGGTACCCACATGGGACGCTGGCCTCACCCACTGCAGCACAGCGCAGCCCCTGCCGTGGGTTTAGGCCTCCTGGAGGTTGTGGTGCCCTGTGCTCGGCCTCTGTCCAGTCCTCGTCCTCACCAAGATCATTGCCCATCCCTGGCTGACCCCGCTCATCCCTCAGGCCCAGGCTCCAGGGAGCCCGGTCCTGCCAGTGCTCTGGCCTGCTCACAGGTGACTGCTCCGTGAGACGTGCGAGTGCCTGCACCCTGTGGATGGAGGCGGCCTGTGTGCACACAGAGCGGTGGCTGGCACCCGGGGCCACGCGGCAGCTCTGTGGTCCTGCCGCCTGGAGGGGCCTCCCCTTGTGAGTGCAGCTGTGGCAGCCTCGTGACCAAGAGGGACTGTGGCACCTGCACGTGGGGTACTGGGAGCGGCCGCAGAGTGGGAGCGGCCTGTGGGCGTGGGGTCTGGGGGCGCCGCCCCCTGTTGGCCCCCCTCCTCCTGGGCTGCATCTCTTAGCTGGTGTGGCCTTCTTTGGCCACCACCTGAGTGGGGTCGGCCTGGGGGTGGGGAGGGCGCGCGAGGTGGTGAGCACAGGAGAAAGCTAACGTCAATTCTGCTTCCAGGGCTCCTTTGACGATACCCAGTCCTCCCGGGGACAGGGCCTCCAGTGGAAGGCGTTCAGCCGCGTCCACTCCCGCCTCCTGCTTGTTCCGGTCCTGGGAAAGCTCCAGCCGGGCCTGGCCTCTGGGGACAAGGCAGAACTGGCCACCAGGGGGCAGCGTGACAGCAGACATGAGAGATGCGGGAAACAATAGTCCACACTGAGAATATTCCGCGCTGTTGCAGCTCGGTTTCCCCGTCCTCCTCCAAGCGTCACATTTGCAACTCCAATTTTCAGCTTTCTTCTTAGATCTTGTCCTCTCATTAATATTAGGATAATGAAAAAAAAAAAAAAAACAATATGTAGCCGGGGCTGTGTGTAGCAGGTAAAGCCGCCTGTGACGCTGGCATCCCATGTGGGCACTGATTCGTGTCCTGGCTGCTCCACTTCTGATCCAGCTCCCAGCTATGGCCTGGGGAAGCAGCGGAGGAAGGCCCAAGTTCCTGGGCCCCTGCACCCGCGTGGGAGACCCGGAGGAAGCTCCTGGCTGCTGACTTAGCCTGGCCCAGCCCCGGCTGTTGCTGCCATTTGGAGAGTGAACCAGCAGATGGAAGGAAGCGCTCTCTCTCTCTCTCTCTCTCTCTCTCTCTAACTCTTTCAAATAAATACATCTTTTCAAATTGATGTGTAGAAACAGGAATTAGAATAGGAATTTGGTTTCCCTCAAATATTGGTTGTGTGGGCTTTCTGAGAGACGACGCCTCGGGGGTGGGTTTCTCTCCTGATTGGACCCCAGGTCTCCTACAGCATCTGCTGTGAAGACAGGATGGGGGGGCCGCGTCTGTGCCCCCAGGATGCCAGAGCTGCTGGGGGCTCCGCAGAGCAAGGTAGCTTCCCGTGTCAGGGTCGTCCGACTCCCACGGGAGCTGTGCTGGGGGCACTGGGCAAACATAGCCCATTTCATCCCCCGCCTCTCCCACCTGAGCCCCAGGCGTCACAGCCTGGACAGGGCTCAGGCCCGGCTACAGACCGGCTCACTGGGGCCTGATTGGAGCCCCAGCTTACTGCAAAGCATGTCGGAGCGCACTGCTCACGAGCGGAGGAGCAGGTGACACGTGGAGGGAGCCTTCTGTGGGGACGCAGGGCTGGGCCTTCTGCGGTGGGCTCAGGGCTGGGCCGGCCAGCACGTTCCCGGCCAGCCGCTCTTCCCCCACTGCTCCGGGTCAACCTGAGGTCCGGGTCGGACACCGAGCGGGACTTCAGCCTGCAAAGGTCAGTCGGGCAGCGCTGTGCGCTGACTCTACACGCACACTGAGAAGGAAACCCAGACTTGCGGCCCCGCAGGCTCTGAGCCGTTCGGTTTCCGTGTGAGTAGCGAACTTCACACTGCACTGCTGGCGTAGCTGTATAAACCGGAGAGGGAACCAAACTCCGGCAGTTTACCAGCACTCAGAGGCCACGGCGCCAACACTCACCGTGGTCCTAGCAGAGAGAGAGAGAGAGAGAGAGAGAGAGAGAGAGAGAGAGGGAGAGAGAGATGGAGGGGGTGAGGAGTGCAAGTCCCACCCTGGGAACCTGCTCCAGTTCCCAACATGTAACAGCGCCCCCTGGTGGCAGATCTTAGACTCGCCTGACTCTCCAGTGATGGCTGAGGGATGGAGGTGACTGTGCAGGTGCCATCTACATACCTGGGGATGGAGGTGACTGTGCAGGCCCCGTCTACACACCTGGGGATGGAGGTGACTGTGCAGGTGCCGTCTACACACCTGGGGATGGAGGTGACTGTGCAGGTGCTGTCTACACACCTGGGGATGGAGGTGACTGTACAGGCCCCGTCTACACACCTGGGGATGGAGGTGACTGTGCAGGTACCGTCTACACACCTGGGGATGGAGGTGTTGCAGGTGCCGTCTACACACCTGGGGATGGAGGTGACTGTGCAGGTCCCGTCTACACACCTGGGGAGGGAGGTGACTGTGCAGGTGCTGTCTACACACCTGGGGATGGAGGTGACTGTGCAGGTGCTGTCTACACACCTGGGGATGGAGGTGACTGTGCAGGTGCCGTCTACACACCTGGGGATGGAGGTGTTGCAGGTGCCGTCTACACACCTGGGGATGGAGGTGACTGTGCAGGTGCCGTCTACACACCTGGGGATGGAGGTGACTGTGCAGGTGCCGTCTACACACCTGGGGATGGAGGTGACTGTGCAGGTGCTGTCTACACACCTGGGGATGGAGGTGACTGTACAGGCCCCGTCTACACACCTGGGGATGGAGGTGACTGTGCAGGTGCCGTCTACACACCTGGGGATGGAGGTGTTGCAGGTGCCGTCTACACACCTGGGGATGGAGGTGACTGTGCAGGTCCCGTCTACACACCTGGGGAGGGAGGTGACTGTGCAGGTGCTGTCTACACACCTGGGGATGGAGGTGACTGTGCAGGTGCTGTCTACACACCTGGGGATGGAGGTGACTGTGCAGGTGCCGTCTACACACCTGGGGATGGAGGTGTTGCAGGTGCCGTCTACACACCTGGGGATGGAGGTGACTGTGCAGGTGCCGTCTACACACCTGGGGATGGAGGTGACTGTGCAGGTGCCGTCTACACACCTGGGGATGGAGGTGACTGTGCAGGTGCCGTCTACACACCTGGGGATGGAGGTGACTGTGCAGGTGCCGTCTACACACCTGGGGATGGAGGTGACTGTGCAGGTGCCGTCTACACACCTGGTTTGAGGTGTTGCAGGTGCCGTCTACACACCTGGGGATGGAGGTGACTGTGCAGGTGCGTCTACACCTGTGAGTGGGGGAGGTCCGTGCTATGTCCGAGGTAGGTGGTGGTTCTGGTTACTGCTCCCTGTCTCCTGCTCTGGGTGGGATGACCCTTCTCTTTAGAGCTCATCAGAGAGTTTACCCCAGCCCCTCCTCTAGGTCGCCCGCAGGGTTGGTTTGAGGTCTGATGTGCGGGGCATGGGTTGGGTGCCGTGGGGAATGGGCCTGCCACCCTCGAGAATGAGACAAAAATAGCTGAGATGGTGACAGGTCTGACAGCCGTGCCAGGTGCTGAGCTGTGTGGCGCAGATGCCGGGAGGACTCGGCAGTGTGTAACAAGGTGCTAATTGTTGGCACAGACAGCCAGCACAGTGCAGCTCTGTGAGACGGTGTGTGGGCTGCAGCGTGCAGGGCAGGCTCCCCGGCCGTCAGCGCCGCCCGCTCGCCAGGTCCTGCCGGGAGCCCGCATGGGATGCGGGGACACCACAGCCACGCGCGGAGTGGCGTCTGCGTCTGGAGGGGGCGGGGAGAGGCCTCGGCAAGGTGGTGTCCTCCCGATCAAGACCAGTGGACCTGCAGCTTCCGGGCTATGCTAGAGAAACCCAAAGTCAAATTTGACTTATTTATCTGGAGATTTATCGATTGGTTTAAAGAGTTACAGAGAGAGAGAGAGAGAGAGAGAGAGTTTCCAGCTGCTGGTTCACTTTGCAAGTGGCTGCTATGACCAGGGCTGAGCCAGGCCGAAGCAGGAGCCAGGAGCTTCCTCCACTTCTCCCAGGTGGGTGCAGGGCTCCAGGGGCTTAGGCCATCCTCCACTGCTTTCCCAGGCCATTTGCAGGCAGCTGGCTCAGATGTGGAGCAGCCAGGACAGGAACGGGCGCCCACAGGGGATGCCGGCACTGCAGGAGGTGGCTTTACCCCCGGCCACAACGCCAGCCTCCAAGGGGAAGTTTTAGATTCCGGGCTGTCTCAAAAGCAGGAGGAGAGCTGATGTCATAAACCCTGTTCACGGGGAGGGCACTTTGCACTGCTGCTGATCTTCCCCTCTGCTCATCTTTACCCAGGATCCCCCCGGCGGGTGGACAGGGCCCTGCAGTGCGGCCGGGGCCCCAGGAGTCCACCTCAGATCGGGAGAGTGCGTGGCCGTCTGTCAGCTTCAGCTCTGGGGATTCATGCTGAGGGGGTGAGGATCGGGGCCGAGCCGAAGAGTAAGGAGACCTGCGACACACGGGAACATGTGTGCGTCAGACGGGACGCAGAGCCCTCAGCCTACTGGATGGTCTTGACGTGCCCGTCTCAGCCCCTCGCCGTCAGCCATCCTGTGTTTTAACCTCTACCCAGCGTCCTGGGTAGACGCCACGAGGACCCCCTCCCCAGAGCACAGAGGGGGCCCAGCCACGCTGGCTTCGGGCCCCTCCAGCCTCTCCGTGGACGCCGTGCCATGGAGCACGTCCCGTTGCTGGGCTGGGGGCACCCAATCTCCTGTTCACGTGGTGGGTGAGCCCCTCTGGGCCCGGCTCCTCTGCCGGTGCAGCCTGGTGCCCCATCTGACGGTGAGGACCCTTCGCAAAGTGCACGGCAAAATGGAATCAAAGACGAGTTTGTTTCTCTGCTGAGAACGGGAATCCAGGCGTGCCAGGCTCTGCGGAAAGAGCGCGGAGACTCCCCAGCTCGGTCTGCCTGCGCCGGGGTGGACGTCGTTCACTCTCCTTCCTGCACACTTCTGGGGCTTCCCGAGACAGGACTGTGGGGAGCAACTCGGACTATACTGTTACTGGAATTAAGACTTATTCTATGCATCTGCTCTCCCACAATGTGGCGCTGGGAGAGGAGCGTACAGCTTCTACACAGCTGCCTCTCACCAACTTGACAAGCTGCAAGAGCCGCTCCTGATTGGAGGAGAGCAGCATACTCGGCGTGTGGGTAGCAGAGTTGGGATTGGTGGAAGAGGACTATAAAGGAGGAGAGAGACAACATGCACCAGGAACATCTAAGAGGAACACCTGAGCAGCCCCCGAGAGAGCCGGCCGGCGGTGTGCCGCTCCCCCGCGGAAGTGGGGAATGTGGCAGGGGGAACTGCCCTTCCACGGAGGTGGAAGGGACTGCAGCCAACCCGGGAAGAACCAGCAGCAAACCCGGGGAGGGCCGAGCAGACAAAAGAACAGCGCAGGGTCCTGTGTCGTTCCTCCACAAAGACAGGGAGCGACATAATGGTGCCGTGACTCGGATATGAAGCCTAGGCAGGGTTTAGTGTCGTTCCTCCACGAAGAGGGGGAACGACATAATGTTGCTGTGACTCGGATATGAAGCCTAGGCAGGGTTTAGTGTCGTTCCTCCACGAAGACGGGGAGCGACATAATGGTGCCGTGACTCGGATATGAAGCCTAGGCAGGGTTCAGTGTCGCTCCTCCATGAAGAGGGGGAGTGACATAATGGTGCCGTGACTCGGATGTGAAGCCTAGGCAGGGTTTAGTGTCGTTCCTCCACGAAGAGGGGGAGCGACATAATGGTGCCGTGACTCAGATAGGAAACCTAGGAGGGAGGAAACGGGAAGAAGTGGAAAAATACCGGAGAGAGAGATTAGCAAAGAGCCTAGGGGAAAGCCGGACGAAAAAGGTGCCGGAAGAAGCTATTGAAAGCCTAGGCATAGACTCGGATACGGACTACGGGGGGAAGCTGGGAGAAATCTCTAAGGTCGAAAGCAAAAGTGAAAGCTAGAACAAACAGACTCGGATACGGACTGCGGGGAGAAGCCAGGAGAAATGAGGGAGAAATATTGTTGGAAGAAAAGTTAGGGAAACATACCGGGTAGAGAAAAATATGTTAGGGAGGATGAAGCCGCGAGTGCAGGCTGAAGCGGAAACGTAAGCCAGCTTGGAATTCTTTAAGTCAGCCCGGGGAGCAAAAGGCGAAAAGTTGAACCAGAGGCAGAGACGTGGGCCAGGTTGGAATCCGTCAGATTAGCCTGGGGAGCAAAGGATGGGAAGCCAAACCATAAGGCGGAGACGCATAAGCTAGGTTGAATTCGCCAGGTTAGCCCGGGGAACTTAGATTGAATACTGGTGGTGGCGGAAACGTAAGCTGCGCTGTGTGACTTGCGGAAGCCGCCGCGTGCAGAGAGAGCACGGGGCGTGAATAGATAGGGAATGCGGGGCTGGCGCGAGGCCGTGGTGCGGGTGCGAAGTGCGTGGAGACCGCGGAGTGTGCGCGCGAAGCCGAGCCGCGCAGAGCCGGGAGCCCGCCACAGGGTGGGCGCCGGGAGGCCGCGCAGATGAGAGAAGCGCGGGCTGAAGCGGCTCAGAGCCGGGAAGCCGCCGAGAAGCAGCCTCGGGGCGGGCGCCAGGAAGCCGCAGGGATAAGAGAAACAGAAGTTTAGAAGTAAAATGAGAGAAATAGGAATGCTGGCAGATAGAAGTAAAATGGGAGAGATAGGAATGCCCGGAGATAGAAAAATAGAGAAAAATAAGGCCTCCCCACAACACAGCAATGAGAGAGCTTGGATTCGGTCTGCCTGATTGGTAGGCTTGTAAGCACCTGTGGGCAACTCTAGCAAGCAGAGCAGAGTGTGTGCCGCGGGGCACCGAAGACAGGCGCGTATCAACGCCAAAAAATAAAAAGAAAGGGGGATCTGTGGGGAGCAACTGGGAGCAACTCGGACTAGACTGTTACTGGAATTAAGACTTATTCTATGCATCTGCTCTCCCACAATATGGCGCTGGGAGAGGAGAAAACAGCTTCTACACAGCTGCCTCCAGTTCAACCAATAAACTGTAGGACCTGCTCCTGATTGGAGGAGAGCAGCATACTCGGCGTGTGGGTAGCAGAGTTGGGATTGGTGGAAGAGGACTATAAAGGAGGAGAGAGACAACATGCACCAGGAACACCTGGAGGAACATCTGAGCAGCCCCCGAGAGAGCCGGCCGGCGGAGTGCTGCTCCCCCGCGGAAGTGGGGAAAGTGGCAGGGGGAACCGCCCTTCCACGGAGGTGGAAGGGACTGCAGCCAACCCGGGAAGAACCAGCAGCAAACCCGGGAAGGGCCGAGCAGACAAAAGAACAGCGCAGGGTCCTGTGTCGTTCCTCCACGAAGACGGGGAGCGACAAGGACGACCGGCGGAGCCTCCTCGGCTGCTGCGTGCCGGCCGGTTACACCCAAGTGCCACCCTGCAAACAGTCGGGGAAGCACCCAGCCTTCAGTGGGAGAAGGGTCTCGGAGCCCAGTGGCCGGGAGAAATAATGGCCCAGGTCCAGGCTTCAGCAGCTCTGGCTGCCACGAGCGTCGCGTTTCTCACCTGACAATGTGTGTCCCTCACTGCGGGGGAGAGCGTGGAGCTGCCGGTAGGAAAGGCCTCTGGGAAACACCACGCCCCTTACGGTGCCGGGCGCTTGGCACCCCCCCCCCCCCGCCCTGGGGACTTGGTGCAGTGCTCAGAGGCCCAGAGGAGTGACCCCACCAACCAGACAGAATGAATAACACACAAGAGACTCTGTCCAGCAAATGTTGGAAGCTTATAAATGCAAATCTATGTTCGCTCATTGGGATGACCAGGAGCACTTTTTTTTCTTTTAAGAAAAAAGCACTTTTTTTTTTTTTTGAGAGAGAGAGATAGAGAGAGAGAGGTCTTCCATCCACTGGTTCACTCTCCAGATGGCTGCAACAGCCAGAGCTGGGCTGATCTGAAGCCAGAAGCCAGGAGCTTCTTCTGGGTCCTCACGCAGGTGCAGAGGCCTGCACTTGGGCCATCCTCCATTACTTTCCCAGGCCATTTGCAGGGAGTTGGATCAGAAGGGAGCAGCCCAGACTTGAACTGGTGCCCCTATGGGATACCAGCACCGGAGGCAGAGGCTTAGCCCATATGCCCCGGCACCAGCCCCCCTCCCCCTTTTTTTTTGTTTTGACAGGCAGAGTGGACAGTGAGAGAGAGAGACAGAGAGAAAGTTCTTCCTTTTGCCATTGGTTCACCCTCCAATGGCTGCCGCTGCCGGCGCACTGCACTAATCCAAAGCCAGGAGCCAGGTGCTTCTCCTGGTCTCCCATGGGGTGCAGGGCCCAAGCACTTGGGCCATCCTCCACTGCCCTCCTGGGCCACAGCAGAGAGCTGGACTGGAAGAGGAGCAACCAGGACAGAATCCGGCGCCCTGACCGGGACTAGAACCTGGGGTGCCGGCGCCGCAGGCGGAGGATTAGCCTAGTGAGCCGTGGTGCTGGCCCAACCCCCCCTCTTTACTCCATCCTGATCGGCTGTTTTTCAAGTTCTTTCTCTGTCCCTGAACCCAGTATGGGCCTGGGATGTCTGAATCTTGCCTGCAACACAGCTTCCCGGAGTGTTCCTGGGGGCTGCCACTCAGGCTGGCATCCCAGGGAAAAACTCAGCTTAAAACCCCCCAGGACACTCCAGCAGCAAAGTGCCGCTGGTGCCCCGGAACTGAGCCTTGCTCCTGTCTTCCGCCTTCCTCACAGAGCTGCGGGGCTGTGGCGATCCTCACCTGACCCCCACGTGGCTCGGCCACATTTCCCTGTGTGGCATTGGGAGTGGGGTGTGCCGGCAGGGGGACCCTGAGTGCTTAGGCGTCCAGCTGGCTGTGGGCTGCCAAGCCAGATCCAGGGAAGAGAAAGGATTCTGATGTGTTGTACTCGCCAATTGCCATGGTGTGAACCCCCTCCCGGAGCCGGTGTGTGTGCTGTGGCGGTGTCTCTGAGCACAGATTGGGCACAGATGGGCGTGAGCAGCTCTCGCTGGCTGGAGGCAGCCTGTCACAGCCACACTGGCAGGAGCGACCGGACTGCCTGCCAGCCCGCAGCTCGCCGGCAGGTGCGGTTGGAGGCGCAGCCCGCAGCTCGCCGGCAGGTGCGACTGGATGTGTGATGGAGAGAGAGAGATTGCTTCACAGGCTGGAAGTCGCGCAGCAGAGTTTAAGGGTTCAAAGCTGCAGGGTCCACCCCAGGAAGGTTCCTAATACAAACGTCCCAGGGAACCTGAAGCCCGTTGTCCTCTTAGCCTCTTAAGAACTTGCTGATTTAGGGGCCGGTGCTGTGGCGTAGTGGGTAAAGCTGACGCCGGCAGCACCAGCATCCCATATGGCGCTATTCCTGGTCCCGGCTGCTCCACTTCTGATCCAGCTCTCTGCTGTGGCCTGGGAAAGCAGTAGAAGAGGCCCAAGTCCTTGGGACCCTGCACCCACGTGGGAGACCCGGAAGAAGCTCCTGGCTCCTGGCTTTGGATCGGCGCAGCTCCAGCTGTTGCAGCCATTTCTGGGAGTGAACCAGCGGACGGAAGACCTCTCCCTCTGTGCCTCTGCCCCTCTGTAGCTCTAACTTT